AAATATTGCTATCAATTCAGTGACCATAAATTAAAAAATATTATTATTAGTCTTATTATTATTATTATTCAATTATTTAAAACAGTTGTACTGTTGCTATTTATTGAATATTTATTATTATTGATAAATGAAAATATTAAAAAAATACTGCTTTTGTAATATTTCTCTGTAAAATAAAGTGTAAAATAATATAACATTAATTTCATATTACAGTACAACTATTAAAAATATGATGTATTGTGTATTTATTATTATTATTACATGGAAATATTAAATTATAAAAATATTGCTATTAATACTTTACTGTAAAATAATATACATTTAATATGTAAGAAAAAACAAAGACTATAAAATAACAATTTTTATGATTATTACTAAATGATTTAATATGATTTAATAAAATGAATTACTAAATGTTGTTACTATTTATTGAATATTATTATTTATACATTAAAATATTAAAGAGATATTGCTTTTGTAATATTTCACTCTAAAATAAAGTGTTTAAGAAAAAATAACATAATAATATTCATTTCATATTACAGTACAACTATAAAATATAAATACTAATATTTATGGCTGTATTCATTTCTTAATTCTTAAATGTTAAACCATCAAGCTTTTAATTTAGTGGAAAACTGCAAGAGATTAAAGCTTCTCTTTTGTTGACAACAGCCCATCTATAAAGTTTGGGAAGATGTTTGGCGGATGTTGCGTTCTCAAACTCACATTATAAGCAGCCTAAGCTCCGAACAATTATAGATATGAGTTTACACGGAGCAGCATTTACTGCAAACCGAGCTTTTCATTAACTCTTTTGTTTATTTGTGTATTTAGGACGTTAGCAGAGTACTGCCCCAAACTGCAGTCTCTCAAAGTGAACCACTGTCACAACGTAACCGAGTCCAGTCTGGGCGTTCTGCGCCGGCGTAACGTGGAGATCGATGTGGAGCCTCCCCTGCAGAGGGCGCTAGTGCTGCTGCAGGACGTGGTGGGATTCGCTCCCTTCATTAACCTGCAGATTTAGCACAACATCTGGACCGTTCTGAAGTCCAGAAGAAGTTAGGTACCAGATCAGAACTAGCAATGAAACCAAAACTACCCCAATTTCGCAATTTATTCCAAAAAAACATTTAAAGGGGTCATATGATGCGATTTCAAGTTTCCCTCTCTCTTTGGAGTGTTACAAGCTGATTGTACATTTATTTTGAAAGATGAAGCTCGCGATTATGGTAAGGGGCGTTACATTTCCGATGAGTGCTTGCGGTGTTCGGCCAATCACAATGCACTGGGTCAGCTGGCCAATCAGAGCAGACTGCGCTTGTCGGAAGGAGGGAATTTGTAGAAAACGAAGCGTTTGAGAGAGGCGGGGCATAGAGGACCTACAATAATGTACAGTATTTGAAAAAGAATGTGTTTTTTGAACATTAAAGCATGTCAACATATTCTGTTACACCAAATACACAAAATAATGATCTTGAAAAAAGCATCATATGACCCCGTTAATATTTGTAAGCTTTCATCGAAATGCTTTTAATGTAGTTCAGTTAGTGGAAGCCTGTGTGAAATGTTTGTTTTGTTTCATAGGTCCTCTCTCATCCACAATCTTTCTCTGGAAGGCTGACTTCTGAAACACTTTTACACCAGAAGACACAACCATGAATCCACATTTCAAGCGCTTGATTGTTTTAGTGTATTTTAGCACTTAAAAAGAAACTTTCTTTGGTGTGAAACCACGCTGCAGGCTTTCAGAATGAGGACTCGATCAAATCTGGTCCCATCGTTCATGGAATTTATGATCATCATTAGAAGGAAGTTGGTGAAAATATATTATTTATGGAAGCAGCTCTCTGTTTTCATGCAGGAACCAAATGTTGTATCATTTTGCACTCATGAAATACTGAAATATCGGCACTTTTCTGAACATTACAGTCCTTCAGCTTTACTGGACCATCAGATTTTCTCTCAGCTTCATTAGACAAACCTGTAAACAGGAAGGCAGATCATCCAGGGCGCAATCAAGTCATGTTTTACAGAAGCAAACTGGAATATTTAGAGCTCTGTGTTGATTTTATTCCCATTAACCTAATAATAGAAAAGAATGGCATTGTTATGTTTAGGAACTAAACACTATAGATTCGTATTTACATGTGATTTGTATGGATTTTGGTTCATATGCACTTTGAAACCTCAGTTTGAAAAAGATTGAAGCTGGAAAATCAGTATTGGTTCTGATTTACTTCACAGGTTTGCATCGTTGTTTAAATAAGACAAATCTGATAGTATATTTAATATTGCTATCAAATTTGACTTTTTGCTGGGGTTTCTCTATATGTTGCATTCATAACGCTTCATCGAGATCCTAAATTTACAGAACTGAAACATATTATAAAGTGTGGCCCGGTCTGTAAAAAATGTTCCTATCACAATGTGCTTATTTTGAATGCTGGAGGACTCTATTTGTTGCTTTATGAGTATTTAAAGGAGTATCAAGATACTGTAACAGGGCAGTTTTTTCTTTTTTTGGATAATTACTCAACATTTTAATATCAAAATGGTTTATTATGGTTTATTTTTGCACATGCACTGTGCTTTAATGTGTTTTGCTTTTGTATAATTCTGTAATGCGTGGTTGTAAATTAAGTGCATAAATGTTTTATGCAAATTGCTGAAAGAGTATAAAGTCTTATGCAATACGATGCTTTGAAATATTATTTGGTCTTGGATCACATGGCCAGTTTGTGGTAATGCAATAGTTCACCCAAAAATGAACATTTGCTGGAAATGTACTCACCCTCAGGTTATCCAAGTTGTAGATGAGTTTGTTTCTTCATGGTGCTTGATCTGTGCAGATTTCTCTCCTGATTCAGAAAAGATGACTTTTACAATGCAGAAAGCATTATTATGGATTATGGACTCATTTCAGCTGGAAGCAACGGTTTGAAGTTAAAATTGTCTTGATTGATTTGTTTCTTACACACATGCAGCTTTTTGCTTCAGAATACGTTAACTGATGGACTGGAGTGGTGTGGATTATTGTGATGTTTTTATCAGCTGTTTGGACTCTCATTCTCACGGCACCCATTCACTGCAGAGCATCCATTGGTAAGTGATGTAATGTTACATTTCTCCAAATCTGATCCCACGAAGAAACAAACTATTGGACAGACTGCAGGTGAGTAAATTTGCGGCAAATTTTCCTTATCGGGTGAACTGTTTCTTTAAAAGAGCAGGATGTTTTCAACCTTTTAACTTTATCGCGCTATTAGCCAGCAGAGGGCAGTGTAGCCTATGACTTCGGATGGATGAATGAATGGCTTTTATTAATTGCAGGAAGTGGGTGTTTGCATTGCTTTACAAGCACCTGTTTTGTAAAGCATGGGTTTTAACTTTGAAAAAAACTTTTTCTTTTTTTTGCAGTGTTAATGGGGTTTGGATCATAGATATGAAGGCAGAGATGCCGAGGTGTTTTGCTTAAAGTCCTAAACAAGTTCAAATCCTGCTCCTGGTGCAAGAAAAGGAGGTTTACTCTCGATTAACTTGTACTCCACATGACTAGAGAGAAGGTGGTGTCCTAATGACCTGAATTACTGAATTATTAGTCATATAGCTTTATGATGCCTGTCGAGCCCTGAAACTCAAACTGGTTCTTGATTGTGAAACTTGTCAGATTTAATTTATAGGCTATGCATCATCTGAAAGGCAGCTAACTTTTTATTCAGCACGTTTCACAAGCAGTGAGTATTGAGACAAATAGAAAAAAAGGCTGAATTAAATTAAGAATAAGGATAGCAAACATGAATAAAATAAAAATTGACATTGAAATTGTCTTATCGAATTCATAATTATACTACTACAGGAGTATAAATGCATCATCTCTTTTGTATAAATAGCAGGTGTTTTTTACGTAAAAATACAACTACTGTTTGCAATCTTTTTTTTTTTTTCTAAAAATCTCCTCAAAAAAGAGCAATAGAAAAAAATGTATAACAGCCTACGCCCAGGAAAAAAAGTATAACATGATTTTGTCATATTTATTTGTGCCTACATTCTGTATATTTAAGGTAAAACATTGTACTGTATGTCTTTCTCCTCAAATAAAAAAACCCCGGCTCTTTCAGGTCTTGTGTGTTTCTCTGCAATTCGATATAAATCAGAAACAAATCACTTATAGTGTGATACCAGTAGTAAACGTACTGTGTTTACGTTTAGTATTTTCATAGACTTTTGTTTGTTTGCCTCCTGAGACTCGACCTGAAAAACTCGTCACACCTGTCAGTAATTTCAGCACGCGAGCAATGAGCATGCGCACTGCGTCTGTACTGGAATATTAACGCGCTGCATACTACATACTACAGAGAAAGAGCAAACGGAGAATGGCGAAGAGAGGATGGTATTCCTCTCTTTCTATTTTTTTTTCTTTTTTAATTATAATTATATGTGATTTTTCTATTTCTATATATACATCAGTATTATTCTCTTTAAAGTGATCTTATCTTAGTGTTTATTATTTAATTTGTAAGTTTCTGTAACTTGTAACCCTTGATTTGAGGAAAGACATCGATGTCACGTGGTACGTGTCACGTTTCCCAGCGCTACTCTAGACGGACCAATCATAGTCAATTTTGATTACTAGGACATTTTTTTCGTAATCAATTTTTTATGAAGATAATTAGAATTAATTGCAATAATCATATCGGCTAATATGCTTTAAAATTTAAAAAAAAAAACATTTTAAACGAATATACTGTTTAATATACAAATGTCTCTAATCATTTTGAATTAAATTCGAAAGCAGCTCAAAGGAGGAGCCATCTTTATGAGCCACCGCGCGCCCCCTGGAGGAAGAACTACCGAATGTAACAAGTAACAGCAGCACTTTCCATCCTCTGTGCGTACTGCACTACTAGTAGGAGAAGTATGGTAAAGCGTGATTGAGACAACAGCTCGTGCTCTTACCGGCGGGGCTGATCTCTTACTCTGTTAGTTAGACACTCAGTTCTCTGCTGTCCTTCTCATTCCTCCGTAAAACACGAATGCAAGACAGAGTCGAGGAGCTGTCCACTTCAGCACCGCCAGCAGGACTGTCCAGACAAACCCAGACTGAGCCTCATGAGGATGATGAAGATGAAGATGATGCTGCTGCTGCTGCTGCTGAGTGCATGCGGACTGCAGTAACACACCAGCAGCAGTCAGCAGCACCACACACCCGCATTCCTCCATCCACACAGCCACCTGAGCCTCCGGTAAGAGTTTCTCCTGTTTCATGCGTGTCTGCTGGCTTTTATATGGAGCTGATGTCCTGATGCATTGGCATGCTGTTGCATGCAGAAACATTGCAGTCGGTCTTGGGAGAGTGTCGTATTCAAACACATGGATCAGTGTTGATTTCTACGAGATGTGGCCTGAGGTTCCTTGTCCTAAAGGACACCGGAAAGGCGACCTTTAAATGCTCAAATAAAGCTCGAATATGTAGGTTTTGGGGGTTTTATCTTTCAACAGTGCAATAATTTTGTAAGTTCTTCATTGGAATCAACCAGTTGATCATTCTAGGACGTTGAGGTCACTTTGATGCTCTGCATCTATATTAATCTGAAAGATGTGATGTGGTTCAGTGCTGTTTGATTTTAAGATTTAGACGTCTAGTAGATGTTCTTTTCTCCTTTCTGATTTGCTGCTTGTGTTTTGATATGAAACCCTACATAAGTTTTTATGATATCAGCAGTTTGTTTTTGTATGCTTGTGGAAAGGTGAAGTGTGTTGGTGGTGTTTTAATGGACGATACTGATACAGTGCAGATATATGCACAGTACAACTTAATAATAAGAAAATGTAATGTGCAAAAAAAAAACGTGATTTACACAATATTTCCACTAATGTACTATGGTATATTAACTAGGTTAATTAGCTAATATTTGTCTCTTTTGAGATTATTTGGCAATAACTATGGTAAATTAATTCAAGTTTTAGTTACCCTTTGTTTATTCATCAAATTTGGAGAAATGTAGCATTGCATAACTTGCTCACCGATGGATCCTCTGCAGTGAATGGGTGCCGTCAGAATGAGAGTCCAAACAGCTGATAAAAACATCACAATAATCCACACCACTCCAGTCCATCAGTTAACATCTGGAGAAGACAAAAGCTGCATGTTTGTAAGAAACATTATTAAGACATTTTAACTTCAAACCGTTGCTTTCAGCTAAAATACAAGTCCATAATCCACAATAACGGAACGCTTCCTCCAGTGAAAAAGTGGTCTGGTCTGAATCAGGAGAGAAATCTGCACAGATCAAGCAGCGTTTACAAGCCAAAACAGCTCTAAATAAATATGTGGGTGGATTTTGATGTAAGAACAACAGGATTATGGACTCGTGTTTTAGCCGGAAGCAACTGTTTGAAGTTAAAAACAAATTAATGATAGATTTGTGTCTTACAAACACACAGATTTTCACTTCACGAAATGTTAACTGATGGACTGGAGTGGTGTGGATTATTGTGATGTTTTTATCAGCTGTTTGGACTCTCATTCTGACGGCACCCATTCACTGCAGAGCACCCATTGCTGAGCAAGTGATGGAATGCCTGAGGGTGAGTACATTTTCAGCAAATTTTCATTTTTGGGTGTCCTATAAGTTGTATTGGTATTATACCTTCAGGCATCCTGCTCTCTAGAAATCAGTGTCTGCTCTGAACAACAAGATATAATGGCAATATACAAAACATAATGAGGACAATTGAGACATACACACCATTTGGAATAGTATGTTACACAATATTCACTTAAAATGCACTCAAAACCTCAAACAAAAAGTGGTTATTATTCACTGGCAAGACTGCTGGTATATTTCGCAATTGGAACTAGGAGAAACAAACACTTCAGTTAAACGGTCAAGGCGGCTCGGTTAACAGCTGATGCGATAACCTCAAATTGTCCAGGAAATTGGCAGATTAATCAGCCCGGCCAATACAGTGGTGTATCATTAGTGCTGTTCAAAGCTGTTAGGTCTCATTCAATCGTTCGGTCCCTGTTGAAAGAGCCGTGTTTCTCTCTGTCTGGTTTTGGCGGTTACAGCAGATGCTGTCCTGAGAGAGACGTGTGACTCCTTAAGGATGATGAATTATAGTGTCTGACACCAAGCTGCAGGTGCCGCGACCGTTCGGGATACAAATGGCACGTCCTTTAGCACAGCGAGAGAAAGAGCGAGAAAGCAAATAGATAAAGAGGTAAACAGACGATCAGATGGATGAAATTATGAGTCATGGCTTGTGTCATCTGTCTGAGCGTCAGCTCTGATGTTTTGTCTTCATCTGCTGATGTTGCACAGAGGATTTCAGACAGCATGAAGAAAGAGAGATGTTATCCTGGATTGATGAAATCTCTCACTGTTTGTTCTGTTTGACCTGTAAAACCCCTCACATTGTCATATCTGCTCCTTTTTATCACAACATACTTATATTTAGTATCTTTTAGCTCTTTGAGCTAAGTTTTTTGAGCTTAATTTCAGATGTAAAGGAGTTTTGTATGCTAAACAGCTGATGAAATATCATGATCGGCATATTGTGATGCACATTTTTTCCCACTATCTTCTGGAAATACTGGAAATGCACACTGATTGATTGCTAGTACTTCGGCACAGTAATTTAATCAAGTCATTATCTTTCATGAATGTCCTTAAAGCTGAAGTGTGCAATTTTGATAAAAAATATAAACATTGTGGCACATTCAAATCATTGATTTGATTTGTTTGAGCAGCCTGGCACACCAAAATGATCTCAATCGCAAGGCAGAATGAGTGATTGGGAAGCCTGTTTGAAAAGTTATTATTTTAGAAATTTTCTTTTAGTGATGTGGTGCCAAAATTACACATTTCAGTTATTAAAAATTAACAGATAAGAGTACAGTGAATTGCAAAATGTATGCTATTATGGTTCTTTCACTTTTCTGTATATTGATTTAGACTACCGTTCAAAAGATGTTTTTGAAAGAAATTAATACTTTTTTTTCAGCAAGGAAATATTGAATTGGTCAAAAGTGACAATAAAGACATTTCAAATGCTACAAAAGAGTTCTATTCCATATAAATGCTGTTCTATTGAGATTTCTGTTCATCAAATAATCCTAAAAATCACAGATTCCACAAAAATATTCAGCAGCACAACTCTTTCAACATTGATAATAACCAGAAATGTTTCTTGAGCAGCAAATCAGCATATTAGAATGATTTCTGAAGGATCATGTGACACTGAAGACTGAAAGTTCAGCTTTGATCACAGCAATAAATTACATTTTACAATATATTCAAATAGAAACAAGTTATTACAAATTATAGTATTTCACAATATTACTGATTTTACTTTCTTTTTGATCAAACAAATGCAGCCTTGGTGAGCAGAAGAAACTTCAAAAACGATCGTAGCGACTCCAAACTTTTAAAGGGGTATTATTCATTTCTTCAATTTTCATCCATTTGTGCATCATCCAGTATTTCTTTCTTTCAAAATATGTAGATTAAATTAATATTTCGTTATAGTGGATATTCTGAATAATGTGTTTACATTACTGAGATACATTGATATCGAGCAGGCCGTTTAATTGCCCAGTATTTGACTATTTTGAGATTATCGGCTAAAAACTTTCCTCGCTCGGCTGATTTACAGAAGTGCTTTGTGTCAATACAAAATTTACCAGCAGCTTTAATAAATGGATACTGCACATTTTCTGTTTTTAATTTTCTTAGTCATTTTGAGTAAGCATAGTAAAATATCTCTTCATTTATATATAGCAAATGTTATTTGCCATCATTAAGCATTATGTGAGTCATTGGCTACAAAGTTCTCTAGACATCAGCCTAAACTCTAGTTTGCATCACCTAAAATTTCGCATGTAAACATAGCGTCCAGTGACATTGTATTCATCGGTTCTGATCTCTACTCTGGCATCTCTCTCTCTCAGTCTCTTTCTGTTTGTCTGTTCAGTATTTTCCGGCTGTCGTCCTCTCATGTAACATGCTTCTTAAGAGGCCCAAGAATCAGTGAGAAACTCTTTCATTTCTCCGCCTGCTGCCCACACATGCTTTCTGCGTCCTACAATCTCCTTCTTCTTTACACCCTCAATAACCTTTCATACGTTGCCTTTCACACGCTCCTGTCGTTCTCCCACTCTCTCCATCTGTTTCTAAATCACATGAATCAGTGCTTTGCATGCGAACTGTAATTCAGCTCAGAAATGCATTCACCGTGCATGTCATGAGATCAAATTAATGATGCACTGACCACTGTAATCTGCATTTGCATTAAAATCAGTTGACTTGCACTCAGCTTGTTGGTGTTTTCAGTCCACCTAGTGACCTCATCTCAAGATATACTTAACTAAATACATGCCCTTTGCATAGGTTGGTTTGAGACCATTAGTACCATCAAACTCATGCCGTCTGACCAGCGCTAATTCGATTCAGACTCCATCTCTTAAGTTTGAAATGTGATTCATCCTGAATGTTATTTAATACCAAGTCTGAGATTGCATGCAGGGCGACCAGCTACTAACGTCAGCCGTATGATCAAAAACTCATGGATTCTCATCCCGAATTCAAATAATTGGCTCTGAAAGGGTTTGTGTGGAAATGGCCTTTGTCGGACTGGTATGCATCTCGTGGATAATTGTGTTCATTTGTGTATAGATGACAGTGGAAGTGATTAGTGTGCATCATGAGGATTGAATTACAGTAATGTTGTTTGAGTGTGTGTGAGTTCACGACGTTAGAAAGGTGATGGATTTAAGGTCAGTGTAATGGAAGGTCTAAAGGAAGGTCATGTTTTTGTTCATTTTCTATTTTGGAACAATTTATCATTTTTACTCACTATTAGACTCTAAAGTCCTCCGAGAGATAAAGTTTATTTAATATGTTGTGATGTAGTGCTTTGTGTGTGAACCCAAGAGAGCTGAGTGAGCTGAAACCTGTCATGAACATGTCCAGGTCAAAGTTCACCTCAAAATTAACACAAAGAAATAAGAGACTATATTTGGCATATTACATTACATTACATTACCTTATATTATTATAATTTCAAATAAATATTATTTTATGTGAATATATTTTAAAATGTATTATAAATTATATTTTAGTAATTTATTCCTTTTGATGCAAAGCTGAATTTTCAGCATCATTACTCCAGTCTTCAGTGTCACATGATCTTCAGAAATCATTCTAATATGCTGATTTGCTGCTCAAGAAACATTTCTGAT